TTATTAATGATCGAAATCGTGTTTTTATGATTATTACATAAAATAAAGATATTTAATCTGTCATTAATAATAACGCACACACTCAACATAGCCCCGCACTAGGGATACCCTGTGTCGCGGGTGCCATGGACACACACATAGACAACCACAAATTACACCCAAACTCATGAGAGAAATAAATGTAGGCCATACAAATATTTCTCCCGGCCCGGGCATCGAACCCGGGGACCTCTGCGTGGCAGTCCGGTATGGTAACCGTTCGGCCACGGAGGAAGTTAAATTCTCATTGATATATAATATAATTTTATTATCTAGTTTTAAGTAAAAAGGATAATAAGAGCCGCCCTCGAAGTTCGCCATATTGGCTAAGACATGCTAGAGTATCTGAATATAATGTTGCGATAACAAAAATTTTAAAAATATAATCGAAGTTGTTATTATGTTTTCACTTATGAGAACGAAATATTTTGATTTTATTTCTCCCTCTTATTATTAATCATTCCGGGGTTTCTGAGAAAGATATTATCCCTAAATTCCAATATCTGGTACTATAAATAGTCTAAGGATACAAAAATAATAAAAAAATCCGGCAACGCAAAAGCATTAATATCAAAATATGAAAATATTATGAAAATCGTTTGCCCTCGGCTTAAAATTGTGAGTATTTAAATTATATACTATGTAACGGTAAAACGTTGTCTGTGAGTCTTTTTAAAACTGCTAGGGAATAAAGAGCTGCACATATAACCAGTTGAGCGCGAAAAATTTCACCCTGGCTGGCATGCTGTACGCTATCAGGTTAAAAAGAGAGAAAACCTATTTCTTAGGTGTTCTTAAAAAAACATCAATGAGACATGACCTTTGCGAAAATAACATGTTCCAAAAAAACGACTAATAATACTAAACAATGCTGGTGCTAAGAACAATATTTTACATGTTTTTATTATCCTAGCATCCTAGCTTTAATTACATTTTTTTATGATACTAAATTACGGAACTATCCATGACAGTTGCACTGCCACTGCGCCTATCACCCTGGTGCATAAGTTGACAAATCCCATGTGCCTGTAATTTCACCGGCACCCTTACTCTTCAAAACCAGAACGCAGTAATGCTCACAATAAAGTACCATATATTGACTTGTGTACAGAATCGGGAGCATAATTAAAACATTGGTTTCGTTGCATATAATTAGTATATGTTAATTTAAATGCTCATTATATCTTACGGAGACACCCGCTCGAATTCTCCCGAACGTAATTAGGCGTATGTTAGCGATGGGCCAAAATTATCCCCTGTGGCGGCGAAACGTACACGTGACGTAAAGCAGTCTCGGCAATTGTGAATTCTTATATATATAAGTGACACACTTAATTGTAAGCGATTTACTGTTCTGAAAAGCTATATTTACTTACCAAGATAGCCGAATAACAAAGTTCTACTATATGGCCTTATGTAAAGTAAGTAGTAACAGTAATAAGTACCAGGAACTCGGCTCCGACTACCTATTTACAGCCTTTACAGTCGAAACCCTTGACCCGTGGAGTTCCGGTGCCCTACATCGGTACAAAATTTTATCCAAAAAATTAATAGACTGTCTCAGAAAACCAAGCTACCTTGCCCAACGCATTAGCCACACAAAGGGGAAACGCTACGAGCATCTTGGGCACCATGCCGCGGGGATCCAATTTTATTAATACAATTTAATCCTAGTTTTACATTCTAGTATTTAAGCTTTTGTTGTACCTTACTGTACTGTATATTATGAAAATAAAATAGATTGTTTATTAAACACATTATGTTAAGTGATACTTATACATATTTCTATTCTTTATTTAAATTGCGGTGGTATCGTAAAATAACAAATATTGAGTTAAAAGTACGTTTTGTTTTTCTGATTACAATAAAAGACATTCAATACAACTTAATAATAGCATTAACAGAAATCAATTTCGTTAATCGACATCGTTACTGAATTTGTTTACGCGTTGTTCACTCAAATGTATTCGCCCACGCTCGACTTATTCCCTCAATTATAGGTAACACAGACCATGAGTAAAGTGTATTTCTTAATCACAATTATTGCTTTGCTTAGTGTTATTTCCATTTAGTTCATGAATTGCCATAACTTAACTATTTTGTTGTGGAAAAAAAATGGAAAAGCAAAAACATTGAAAGTTACTTTATACACAAAGGCAGAAATACTTCACGCATTCCTTCATTTTTCTATACAGGGCGCAAAGCATGTTATAGAGCTCTTCAAATGTACTCAGTGGCTCTAAAAACAAAAATAACTTTTAACTCATTTTCTGTACTTTTGTTCAAATGTTAAATAAAGTCACTGTTGCGATATGTTGTGTAGAAGATGAGAGTAACCAACTAAGTATAGTTTCACTGAGGCATATAACATATAAAAGCATGTTGTCTATTGATATACAAATTATTGTTCACTCTAGTGGTAAACAAAGGTTAGAACGGACCTGGCCGTTGAATATTCTGGACTAGTAGGTACGCCGAGCTAAGAGAGTCACTGTCAACAACTTATTCGTTGAGGCAAACCTCTAAAGCCTCGACAACGTCGTAGAGTAGCCTGTCTTTAGGTATTTGACAGGATACATTTTATATGGTTCAATCTAACTTCAAAATACTTCGACTTCAAAAAAGACGAAGGTTCTTAATTCTTTTGTATTTTTACTCCGACATTTGTGAACTGATTTGGATGATTCTTTTTTGTTAAAAAAGGGCTACTTTGGTAGTGATTCCATTAAAATTTTTAGAAAATATTCCATCTCTAAGAGTAGCATATTTGGGGATGAATCAGGAATTTCACTCATTTTCTATTAACAGATTTCAATAAACCTCGACATATAGATGTAATTCCAATAAAAATAAAATAAAATGTTGTGGTGAGATATAGCTGAGTTGATGATGGAAATGGTAGACAGATTAGAGGAACTGTGAACAGTGTACAGCAGCTACCTTGTGTTTGGGCTCATATGATTCATTTTGACGAGAACTTGCGTTTCAGTTTTCGCTAAGTTTACGCCGCTCTAACGAACACAGTGAAAACCACGGAAGATTATGTGGTCGGTGGTGAAAACGAATAACTTTTGCGGTCTTTTCTTTTAATAAAAACGTTAAGATTACTTAAATTTGTTTTAATTCAGTTATATAAAAGTATGTCTGAGTGAATGAAGAGGTTTACTATCTGACACAAGTATTTAATTACTTAATAAGTTGGTCCCAATCTCAATTTGTAGCATAATGTCTAAATATTGTGGACTGTATTATTTAATAAATGTTTTTTTTCCACTCTGTCACTGGTCAGCTAGACACAGCGAGGGTTTCACCCTTGTTTAATTTTTTATGTAAAATAGATCCACGCGTTGCCGTCTGTATTTCCCCTGACACATTTTGGACATTTTTAAGGTCAAATTGAACATGTATAAGCAAGCGTGTACGTAAATGAAATATAGACAAACATATAGGTTTATATGCGTTTAGATGAGTTTAGAAAACTTATACAACGCTCAGTATTAGGTATGCATAATGATCCCAAATATAATTAAGCACATGTCAGTAAGGCGGCAAAGGCGTCCACAGAGATTGAGAGAGACACACGATTCCTGACAATCTCCTTTTGGGTACCGAAATTGAACCGGAACACAGCTAGACGGAGTAATTGCTTTTATTTGACGTATTATTCGAATTGTGATTGATTTGTGATATATTAAATCTTCAAAACTTTATACCTGTACGTTCAATTCACTGCGGGAACCATTTCCTCAATGTCGTCACCGACTGAATGGGGTTTAAAAGTTAATTGCTTTTGAAGAGTTTTATAAACCTTCCTCGACACGCTTAGGTTTAGTTTTTCTTCAGTGAAAATATTTAGCCTGTATAAAGTCCTTCGGTCATTCCTATCGTAAAAGTATAGAGATGAATTTAAGTGTAAGCCAAACGTAGACCCGACGGACATCAGCCTTCAACTCGACGCCAAAAAATACCCCTCTTTCTCCTTTGTGCCACACCGCGCCATTCCGCTTTTTAATGGGTGCTTAAGACTTTCATAATTACAACATAAATACGTAATGTACTATGACTGCATATAGTATGCTTTGTGCAGACGTAGTTTAGTTAAAATGCAGCGAGACGAACGAAGCGGGGGTCGGCAGCGTGTCATTTAATGAATGCTTAACAAAGTGCTCGCACGGATCCCTCGATCGTAAACAAGACGCCATGTACATAATATACATAACTCAACAATTGCACAAATATATAGAGCTACTTTCATTGTTTATGTCGAAAACAGAGTGTGTTCTTTATTGATGGTGCGATAGTGCTTTAAATATGAAACAAGTGTGCATTTGTGCTTCTATCTTCCATCACAATGACTTGGTATCGATGTTAGGTTGGTTTGTTTATTAATTTATTCCGTCAACCGTTTCCGTTTACTTATCTTACAATATCATCATCAAATCCAACTTTCAAAAAAAAATCCTATTACAATACCTACTATTCAGTAACAACACCAATTAAACTCACTACATAAACGAACGTAACACGATCGCCCCACTTTACTACGTACCTGAAGTTCACTAAATATATATATACATTTTCATTGAAAATAAAAGTTACTCCACGCAAACTATATTACGAAGGGATGGTCGTAATATAATAATATTGGAGTTCATGTCCCAGCTCATGCGTGTAATGGAATTGTAATGAGTATGCCCTTTTGTTTTAGGAAGTATATTCTTTCATAATATAAATATCAGCTTTTAAAGTAATGATCTTATTTATGCTCAAAAAAAGATGATAAATCATTACAAGTTCAAATAAATAAAGCACTATTTAAACGCAGAATAGTTTAAACTTCGAAAACACGGCAAAATTCTCATTACAGTCATTCAAAAGCAAATACTTTTGAAAGTAAAATGAACTTGACAAGCAATTGTCGCATTAAAATGGCGCACTAAGTAAACTACAGTCATGCTTACCGCTCGTCCTTGGGCTGAGGCAAACAGTGCCAAGAGCACTACAGTGCACGTCAACATTTCGTAGCTGCGAGCCGCGTAGCAGAGTCTAAGCGGCGTAGCGCGGGTGTAGAGCGCGGCAGCTGTCGCGTGACTGCCACTACGACGCGACGCTACCACTGACGCCTAGGGTTGCCCATCACAAAGGTGCGGGGTCAAAGCATATAGTAAAAAATGGGTAAAGTTAACGCTGTTAACTTCATAATATATTTTACACTTCTGCAGCTCCCGTTAATTTAGACGTCTACTCCTTTCAATTAACTTGTAACTTGTTTGGCACAAGAAACGTTTCTAGACGATAGATAACTAGAAAATCAAATTGTTAAGATTTAATGATTATGCCTTAAGACTTCACAGTTTTCTATAATAAAACTTAGTTTTTTTTTTCAACTTCTCGTTATGAAGAAAGATGGAAAAAGTACTTTTGAATAATAAAAAAACAACGTCTTTTTTCAATTACATCCATGTTTTTTAATAACAAGGCCATGAGCATAGCGTGTTACGTGGTCGCTTTACTACGCCGTATATTATGTAAACAAAGTTTGACAGTAGAATTAACAATCCAATGGGCTTTGTAGCGTTTATGTCACCAAGGTCAGTAGGGGACAATATACAAAAACTTGTTAAGCTCTTTAGAGGGTTCGGCTTGGTTTTTACAACAATTTTTTGATAAGAATAAAATTAATTATAATTACTAAATAAGTATGTGATCGCATCCAGTCGTGCGCTGAGCATTGACACATTAAAACAATGAATGAATGAGGACTATAATGATATTTCATACTACGAGTACATGCATATTCTTTTTGCATCATTTTTATACACCCCAACAGCGTAAGGCGCCGTAGCAGACCGAGGAAGCAATAGCGTGACGAAGTGGACGCCTACGACAAGGCTTGGGTCCAGTTAGCTCAAGATCGGGATGCGTGGAGGGATCAGGAGAAGGCCTTTGCCCAGCAGTGCGGTACATCAGTCTAAATGTAATTGTAATTTATACACCAAAAGGATTGGTATTTTTATAACATAAATGTTTGAACAAATACGACGTAACAACAGCAAAATTATTTTACAGCGACGTGTGTAACTTTTTAATTAATCTGTAGACTTTTATTTTGGGCTGTTGTTAGAATGCCCTTTTTAAAACCAATTATAATTACACATTACTAAGAGCATTGAATATATTTTTAGTATTTACATGCTTTGTTTCTATGTGATGGTATTTATCATACATAACCTGTCACACTCCGTTATTTCCACTTGATTTTTAAACCTGAAACGTTAATATTGTTTTTAATCGTACTGAAAAAAATTGGACGTTCTCAATGAGACTGTATTTTTTGTGTGTACGAGTACGTCACGACGAACCTGATTAGTGAACCGAATTTAATGATTCTTTTTTTGTTGGAAATGGGCTATCTCAAATTTGAAGAAAATATTGCTCTAAGCGTGGCATTTTAAGGGATGAAATTGGTTCTTCTTAAACTTTCACAAATTGTTGGGGTTGTTTTGGTAAAAAAGTTATTTATTACAGGTCAATGTTTATTACTAATTATATTGTATGCCGAGTGGCAAGGATCATTATGCCAGCAATTTTGGTATAACAATCGTTTCGCACGAAAACGTGATGTAGCTGATGGCTTTTCTATGATAATGGGTAAAGACTGCTGAAATAAAGAAATGAATTTGCTCGCGTCATGAAGCTTAGTAAATTCGGAACCAATATCGGGGCACTCTTACGAATATGAAAGTGTGCCTGACCGGTCAACAAATATCATTGCACTAGGCCTTAACAAAGTCGAGGCGTAAAAAAACATTGTCTTTGGTGAAGATATTTTCAATGATTCCTTGCCTTTGTTTAGATGTCGTTATACTGCTGATATTTCTAATACTAACATTTCGCTTTAGTATTGGTTAAATACCTATTGATTAGTGATAAATTATGTATTTATATTTTTCACATAATTTATGCATTATTTCCGGAAAATAAGGGATTGCTGGACGTGCATGAGTTACAAGGTAGAGCGCCATCGAGGTGCAAAAGAGAGCGAGAGCGATACGAACCAAGCCATCCCCGTTCCCGCCTAGGCATATATAGTGCTATTCTCAAATAATGTGCTGAAATAATAATAGAAGACTAAAGAGAGTAAGACGTGTAATAGAAAAATTAAAAATATATTGTATTATATTATGTATTAATATTAAAACTAATATTTGACATGTGAGGATAATTGATACAAGAAAATGTTATTTACTGCCTTTTTGTTATTTTCAAAGTAAGCGGTACTATTAATTCTCGCAATCTCGGAAATACTTTTAATTCTCTCAATTACAAACACTGGGCAGTTGGCTGTACGAGTTCTCTTTTGCCTGTTTACATAGTTCATGGTTAGTCGATTGATAGATAGTTGTTAAAGTAGATAGATTTAAAAGGTTAGAACAGCGGACAGTAATGGATTTTCATACTCACTTTGCGCCTTGGCCGGAAAGACGTCTCTCGGTCTCTAAATGATAAACTTTCCATGTTCGTTTTTTGAAAGTAATACAAACATTTCCGAGCATGTTTGAGAAAGATTCGCATATATACTTCTTAAACAATATTTATAATAATTTATTGTTATATGAACGTAATTCCAATTACTTCCAATTATAATTGGCTATTAATTTATTATGACAAATAATTTATGAATGTTGAGTATTCCTTAATGAGACATATTAGAAATTAAACAAATTATAAGTTTTTAAGAAAGTGTATTATGTATTCTGGATACTAATAAAAAATAAAAGTCAAGTGGCTTGTTATGAACATTTTCAATGGATACCCGCTTGTAAAACGATACACTCTATATACTTTTCCTACGTGTTCTCATGTTTGTTAACAAAAAATATATTGTTTGTTAACAAAAAATATGTTATGACATTGAAACGTTGGGCTTTCAATTATCGTGACATAACTAGCATTTGAATTTAAATCTTAAGTATAATATTGCACGTGCTATTGTCCGTTCCCTACTCGCATAGAAATTAGGACAATGTGTACGTTGTACCCGTACACTAAAGGAAATAATGCAGACAAAGGAACACCAAATAAATAACAAGTTATGAAAGCGGACGGTTAGATGTAAGTAATTGGCAAGCCGAGTTAATTCCCGCTAGCATTCCAGTTCCGGAATGAGGTTGGCTTTTCGTAATGAGTCCAATAATTAGTGCCCTAGGGAAGTAATATTAAGTATTACTTACATTTCTGTCCTTTCGCGATAATAAATTGAAAAAATGAAGCCAATAAAAGTATTACAACTTCAAAAAACAATATTGTGTACTTTTTAAACAATGTCTTTGTTTATGGTAAATAGAGTCACTGTCACTGTTACTTTGTCCCCTTTTATATGTTTCAAAAGCAAAGAAATACAAAATCGACAACGTGAATCGATTGCCTACGATTGGGACAGGCAAACGACTTAACGGGCGATAAGGCCATGTGACAAGTCAAGATACCTACGTGATGGAATTTTTTACCCACGCCAGTAATTCTACCTGTCCATATATTAACCGCACCTACAAAACCATGGTTTAAACAAATCTGACACTTACGCCTTTGAAATTAGGAAAACCTAACACTCCACTGCATGTAAATATCTCCAATCTTGATAAACAAAATGCTCTCATTCTTTTACGAAATGGCAATAACTCGGTATCGGTGAAGCGGCAAAGTATGATTGCGAATTTTACTCGCAAATGTTACCGAGTTTATAGCTTTGATATGCCAGACTCTTTGTTTATCGTTCTCGACTTTATATTCGCCTCGACAAGATCTCCACACAAACAAGCAGTGCTCTTGAAAATATCCGCCATTAAAATAAATGCAAAACCCGATGCCTGAATCGAATTAAGACGCGCATTAAAATTAACATTTAAACAAGATGATTCTGTAAGTATCCAAATTTCTATCTGTGTTAACTTTTGCATGATATGTATCCCGCAAATAAAAAACAGGTCTCTTGTAAAAAGAAAATAACAGTGGTTGCAGAAACCTAATCATCATGAAACGGTAAAACTACCGATTACTCTTGTGTAGTTACATAATTTCTAAATAATTAAAGTGAATATACATTTATTTTATTAGGATTTAACCGCGTGCGTGCGCACACACATTCCTGCACGTGCGCATGCACACACACACTCTCTCTCTCTCTCTCTCTCTCTCTCTCACACACACACACACACACACACACACACACACACACACACACACAC